AAGAATGACAAAAAATGGTTATTTTTTTTCCTTTTTTTTCAAAAATACTTGTTTTGAATCACCACAACAAAAAAATACGTTTCAATTCAGCAAAAAAAACAGTCTGTAACATGTTTAGGTTCCACCTCAATATTGTTTGAAATGACTCTTTAAAAATGGACAAGTACCCTTGAGAGTAACTAGTTTGGAAAAACACAAGTGATTGAGTTGAGTAGCCAGTTGAATGATATCATCGTTTGGTTTACCGAGACATTGAACAAAGCTACAAGTAGTAAAAGTCAAAGAAAAGTTGTCCTTTTCGAAGATCAAGTCTTTACGAAACCTTGAGACAAAGACACCCCAAGAAACACAAGAAAAGAGCCCTTGAAAACTTTTTGTTTACCTGTTGAAGCATAACCATACTTGAAGGATTGAAGTACAGTTTTATCCATAGCCAAGAACTGTGTTCTAGTCGTCAACGACAAGGGCTTGTTAATGTCTGTACGAAAAAAGTGCAGCAACTACAGCCTTGGAGATAGGTTTGGTTTTACTAGATTGTCTTCAGGTGATACTTATAAAAGTATGTTTCACTCTCCAAACACTGCCCCTACATCGGGACAATATTCCCCTACTATTCCCTCAAATTATCCATACAATAAGCGTATTGTACCCCTGCATTTGTGAGACTTTTAACAAGTCTCCACGAAATCACCTTTACATATTCCTTAACTCCTTGATATCTCTTTTTCTAAACTCAAATATCAATTCATGATGTTGGTTGACTATTCTCAAGTACCAGATCCAAGAAATCACTTGTAATGAAAAAGAGTGAATTCGCTTTATGAAGCCTTTTCTTCTTTGCAATTATTTCATGGAAAACCTTTGCTATCAAATACAATAGAAGCTTCAATAACGTCTTTAAATACCAACTCTCTGCAAATTTGTCAATCTTTGTTGGTTGCTTTTTGGATGAGACAACAAGACTTGGCATTGGTTTCTCATTAGATTGCTATTTCTGTAGAATTCCCTGCCTTGTTGATTTTTACCATCATCAAGTTGGAAACAGTCTTTTCCCATGTTTATCCAAAACCTTGATGACATTGCTTGCCCATTCTCTCCTATAGTTTGAGAGAGTGTTGTCATCCGTATCAGAGACTCGTTACCAATTGGTTGTGTCGAGTCTGTTGAAAGCAATACAGCTGGTTGAACATAGTGTTGCAGCTTTTTTTTTCTTTTTTTTGGGAACTGATTGTTTCCTTGTAAAACCAATCAATCTTTCTGTCCCTTTTTTTGGTGAATAGATGAAATCCTTTTTTGGTTTCCTTTTCTGGTTCTCAAGGTTATATCAACACTCCACAGAAATGGATAAACACCTCAAGTTGTTTTGTAAAGATATTTTGTGATTCACTCAGTTTTTTGAAAACACAGAGAGCAACATTCAAGACGTTGCAAAAAGATGCCGTGTAAAGCCAAAAACTATCTTGTACATTTATTACCGATAACAATGGAGAGATTGTTCTCAAAGGTCTAGCAGTAATCAAGGAGACTTTTTTCTTGTATAATACCTAACCTAATGTTTTGGCTATTGTCCCAGCTTTTCAAGAAGAGACGCAAGCCAGGTTGGACGTTGTACAAGAAACATTGATGGATCACCAAGAAACCGACTCTTTCAAATGACAAAGACTCCTCCTCGACGACTGTTTCTCCAAGTCCATCTGTTTATTCTGTATCGTCACATTTATTTATTTCTACCATTTGACTTTTCACACTTTTATGAATGCGTCTCGACGTGCTTTGAACAATCTGTCCAAGACCCTATTGACTAGTTTTAGAGCGACTCTGTTGGATTTTTGTTTGGGAGCACAAGTCTTGGAATGTAGGTTCTATTAGGTACTACTTTGTCTTTTAAAAGTCAAGGAATGGTTAAAAAAAAGATCCTGTTCATGCCGTAGCAATGCTGTTTGAGTTTTATGAAGAGGTATACATGTTGAACGAATATGTATGTTGGAGTCAATCGAGGAAGATAAAGTAGATACATCACCTGTGATACCTAGAAAAATTTTTAGGAATTGTTCAACATTTCTTCCAATCGATTTACAGTTACTGACATCATATACTTGAAAACACAAGCGAGAGTGCCATTGAAATTGTTGAAAAGTATCTCCAATAGTTTCTGTCAAACAATAAATGGAGAAAGTTTCTGCATATTCTTGGTTTATTTATTGTTTACTACTTTCTGGTTTAACGTAATATGCACATCAATAGACGTTGGATTGCTGTATGAGATTACCGGTGGAAGAGATCTCACCACCATAGGTCTACAGGAAACTTTTTGAAAAGTTCAAAAGATAAACTAGAAAAGAAGGTCTGTGTTTGCTTCGTTGAGAGAAGATTATACTAGCCTGCTGCAGCGTATGTTGTATTTACAAAGCTCAATTTTGTTGCTCGAATATGAAAATGGATTGGAAAAAGGCTATATAAAACGAATAGTGTTGGATTATAGGCTCAAGACTATGGAAGAAATGAAACTTGGGAGTTTGAGTTGACTCTTATAAGGAGATGAAGCGTTTTGACTTTTAGAAGATGAGAAAACTCTGTGCAAAAATGAGCGAGTGAAAAAGAACGTAAAAAACTATATATTTATGAGAAAATGGAAAAGGTAAAAAAAAAATATGAATAACGTCTTTCGAGTCAAAGTTGGTGTCGCACTCTTTTTTCCACTTTTTACAAAACTTTTCTTTCAAGGAGGCTATTTCAAATGTAACAAGATATCGAGAGAGACGGTTGAAATGATCCATGAGATGGTTATAGATAAAACTTTCATTTATTGAACGATTAGTTTTATTGTATGGAGTTTTTCAAAACAAGCTCAAGTGTTATTTTTCTATTTTCGCACCATTTTATGTATGGTTCTACTCCTTTATGAACAGAGAAACACGAGGTGTCATTTTTTTTTTGGAAATTTTCCTTCGATATATGCTACCCTCTCTTTCTTTCTGGAAAATTCGAATTTTGAGTTCAATTGTTTCCTGTTAAAATATGTTTGAAATACCTACTTGAAGGTACTTATTTGTATGCCTTAACAGAGAAAACGATTTTGTGAACTTTGACAAAGTCAACTTGTACTTTTTCATGTCCTATGAGATCCTCTGATAGTGTTTCATAACTTTGTGTCCATTGTAAATTTCAGTCTCGTACAACTGCGAAATAGTTTAAACTTTGGAATATAAAAGGTAAAATGGCTTTTTTTTTTGGTGAAAAGAAATAAGGAAACGTTGCAAAATTTGGAAAGGGTTTGATTGTCGAACAGTAGTCATTTTGAGGTGTTGTATATTTGGTATGGAGTTTTTTCAACTGACTAGCAGTCCTTTGGTAATTGGGTATAGGATAAGAAGTACCATAATTATTGTTTTGTTTAAAGTTGCCAAGGATCTTACTTTACCTCATTCTGGATAAAAGGATTCCAATAAATAACTTTCAGTAGGCTTTTCATAAATGAAAACTACATATAGTTACATCCCATCTATTTATTCATAAAGCTTTCTGTTTACTACTTGCATATTCTTATTCTTTTGAGAATGGACTGGTCCATACATTTCACGAATTCTTTGTTCACTGGCTTTGATTCAGTTGACCAACGTTGCCAATTGTTTATCAAATTTCATTGTCTTTTTTTTCCATAGAGACCCCGAAATTCGTTGTTCCAACTACCTTTCCGTTTGACTCGAAAATATTTAGAGTGTTTTCAACAATTGCTAAACTATAAGATATACATCCTATCATCAATGACTCAATTTTTGTTTCTTTTAAACTGAAAAACAAGGTGTCAAGACTATATCGCTCTAAACATAAATACATACATACATCATATATATATATATATATATATATATAAACAGCAATCAAGTATCATGTAACCAAAAAGGAGAGAGAGCAGGTTTACTTCGTAGCTCTTTGAAACTTTCCAAGGAAACCAAGGTATAAAGAAAAAGAGAAAGCAGTAGACTTGACAGTCCACAACAAGAAGAAAAAGAAAACATTTCCCAAAGTGTGTACACTCAAGTTTATCAATTTTCTTCGACACCAAGGTCAGATGGAAACAGCTCTACGAACGAACAGAACCTGGTCAACTTGCACTTGGAAGAGATTGTTCCAGATACCAAAAGAAATGACTTTGACGGTATAAAGCTAGCTATTTCAAGAAGCACGAACAATTCATATAAAAAAGTACAGTATTTTTGGATTGCTAGACACAAGACTAAAGAATTGTAATACGCTATCAATTCGTTAATTCATTACTCTTTTCTTTTCTCAGCAAATAGAAAGACAAAAGAGTATTTTTTATGATGATTGAAAAACAAACTGATACTTGTTTTGTAGTATGGAAACTCAGATTGGTAAGAAGTTGGAAAAAACGATCTCACTCTTACAGACTTTTACATCATGCCTACGTAAGAATGCACTTTAGACAATTTGCTGATTTGTGAATCAAAGACAAGTTTTAACTACTGAAGAAGACATATACAAGGCAAGTGACATAAATAGGAGTAACTTCATTGTGCATTCTCAAGTTGAATATTGCTTAGATAGTGTTACTAGAATGACATGGGTTGTTTGAATTACCTTATATTGTCTGTCCATTTTTCATGAGTCTTTTTTTCCATCAAGTTGTTTTATACTAGCACACGAAAACTATCCCATATGTTAGTGGAGTTATTCATATCTTAGACTTTGTTTCATATAGTATTTATATATCGTCGATAGTCTCTTTAGTAGCAAATGCACAATGATCATATGGATTTATTAGAAGAATTTACTCAAGTAGGTTTGACAAACAAAATACCAACTAGTACTAGTAGTCAATTATCTTAACGCATAAAGGATAACCTAGTTGATAGTTTGCTTGGCAAGAATCATAATGAGAGAAAATCCTCTACATTCTTTTTTGATAGCTGTAGATTGCTTTTACTATAAAACAGGTCGTTGACCACAACTCATTCGAGTGCATTCTTTTTACAGATGACTAATTGTTGGATTATATTGCTATTCTATTCTGTTAGACGAGAATTTTGATTTTGCTATTGGGTCTGATTCTGCATAATATGTTGAGCGCCAGTATACAATACACACTTTTTAGTGATTTTTTCTGGTAATGGGAAAGATGGGCAATTTGAAAAGAGAGGCCGATTGAAAATGGGCCCGCTCAATTTTGATTTGAAAATTGCCATTCTGGGTGTGGGGTGGGAAAGAATGGGTAAATTGGAGATGGGAAAGAGTGGGGAAATTGCGATGGGAGAAATGGGTGGGGAAAGGGGCCAATTTGGGCCAACCACAAAGGTGATCGTGATTTGAAATTGCCATTGTGGTGGGCTGGGAAAGAATGGGTAATTGGAAATGGGAAAGAGTGGGGAAATTGCGATGGGGGAAAATGGGTGGGGAAAGGGGTTGAGGAAATTGGAGAAGAGGGGCCAACCCAAAGGCGATTGTGTTGATTTGAAAATTGCCATTATGGATGCGGGGAAGAATGGGTAAATTGGAAATGGGGGCATTTGAAATTGAGGACAGTGTGCAAAGAGGACTGTGTGTGAATTAAAAATCTTGGGAGAATCCATCCATCAGGAAGAGTGTTTGAAAAATTCCAATTCGAAAAGCAAAAGATTGAAATTTGAACTTCAGTTATATTTTATGAGATAGTAGTAGTAGAAAGTTTAATTACACGCTGTCACATAATGTTTCCATGCTTTCATAATACATTTTTACTCTAAAATAATCTTCTATTATTAAATTTGTAATGAAAATGTAATAACAATTTAATATAGTTAATTGAAACATTTGAAACATTGTTAAAAAATTTAGTCATTGACTTAATTTTCAACTATTACAATTAAATATTCAAAGTAAATATGATATGAAAACAGAAAACTCAACAAAGCAAAAAAAGAATTAATTTTAAAGAGTTATATTTGTACATTCTTCATTTGATTGACAAAAGTAAGTAATTTTTAGTTTAGTTTTACAATATTTACTAAAAATATAGACAATAAAAATAATGATGATCAGTAAAATTTTATAGCTGCCTTGACACGCTATACTATAGACACGCCATAAACGTACGGATTATTTTTTTTAAAAATTAACAACTTCAAAAGTGACAACTAATTTATAAAAAAAGAGGACATAGTCATGGAATGTATAGAAAGAAAGGTTTTTTATTCAACAAAGAAATAGACATATTGAAAAGGATCAAGTAGATGGTTCAAAAAAATAGTAAACGAACTGGAAAAAACAAAGAATTGCATCTGGTAAATTGTCATTTGATAAGAGAGTATGTATGGGGGAATGAAATGGTCGATTGCGGGTAAAGGATGGTAGTGCAACTTTGGTTTGAGAATTGTAATGGGGGAGTGTTGATGGAGGAAAGAAGGGGCCAATTGGAAGTGGAAGAGGGTTGGGGTCAATTGTGATTTAGAAATTGCCATGGGGGAAAATGAGTGGGGGGGGAAGAATGGGCAAATTTGGAGAGGGGTCAATTCGAAATGTGGATGGGCAATTGTGATTTAAAAATTGCCATGGGGGAAAATGAGTTGGGGGTAAGGATTGCGGGCAAATTGGGAAGAAAGGGGGGCCAACACAACAGCGATTTAGATTTGGGATTTATCATGAGTAGTGGGGGAATAATGGGTAAATTGGAAATGGGAAGGGGTATCGAAAACTGTAAGGACAGTGTATGAAAAGGACAGAGTAATTTGAATTGAGGAAATTAAGAAAATACAAGAAGAGTGTTAGAGGGATTCAAATTTTAAAAGTAGAAGATTAAAAGTTGACCTTCAATTATATTTTATGAGATGGGGGTGATAGTAAGATTGACGACATACTGTTGACGCAATATTTCTATATTTTCATAGTCGAACCTCAGTCCAAATTAATCTTTTTTAAACTTGATAAAACTTTGCTAACAAAATACTATAGTTAATTAAAACAATGAAAATGAAAATAAAAAAATTTATTACCGCCTTGATTTTCAACGCTTATATGTCAATGTTTCAAAGTAAATTCTTTTTAGACACAATAAATTGAATAAAGTAAAAAAAATTTATTAAAAAAATATAAATAATAAAGTAGCTGCTTAATGGACAAGAGAAGATAATTTTTTGTTTCAAAACAGTTACTAAAAATAGAAACCACAGATGCAAAAATAATTAAATAGAATTAATCGCAACATAAACAAAAAAGAATTAGGATCATACAATTAGTGGAATATTTAATTTTTAACCATGAGTAAATTGCAAAATAGAAACCAATCTATGCGAGCGATAAGACACAATTTTGAATGATACACAAAAAGAAGTTGCGTTTAAGGGATTAAAGATGTCCAAAAAAAATTAAGTAGGATACAGTTTAGAAATGAAAATAATAGAAATGAACCGAGAAAACCAAAAATTGCAATAACTTTATTTTTTTGACAGTAGAGTAATTGTGTAATGTCACGAAGGTCAATTTTCTTTTGTTATGTTTATTAAGTTTTATTAAGTTATATTAGGGTTATATTAAGTTTTATGGGGGAACGCAATGGTCGATTGCGGGTAAAGGATGATAGTGCAACTTTGGTTTGAAAATTGTCTTGGAGGGAATGGGGAAAAAAGGGGCCAATTGAAAGTGGAAGAGGGATGGTTGTCGATTGTGGATTGGATAGTGTAGCATTGGGTTGAAAATTAGTGAGGGGAAGAATGGGGGCACAAGTTGCGAATTGGAGGTAGGTCGAAATGTGGATGGGCAATTGTGATTTGAAAAATGCCATGGGGTAAAATGAGTGGGAGGGGAGGAAGGATTGGGGCCAAATTGGAAATGGGTCAATTCGAAATGTGGATAGGCAATTGTGATTTTGAAATTGCCATGGGGAAAATGAGTGGGAGGAAAGATTGGGGCCAATTGCAATTGGGAAGAAAGGGGGCCAACCCAGAGGCAGATTGTGATTTTGAAATTGCCATTATTGTTGGTGGGTGGGGAAGGATGGGTAAATTGAAAGAAAAGGGGCGT